CGCTGTGAGGGGAGGAGATGGAGCTCCCATCGTTGGCGCACCTGAGAGGCGCTGCGCGGTGGGGAGGGATGGCTAAGGGAAGACCCATCGCCGGCGCCGTAAATCTGGGTCATAGAATCGTAGGATCGTAGCATCAACCGGGTTGGAAGAGACCCCAAAGATCATTTAATCCAACCCTACTGTCATTACTAGCCCATGGCACTAAGTGCCACATCCAGTCTCAGCTTGAAAACCTCCAGGGATGGGGAATCCACCACCTCCCTGGGCAGCACATTCCAATGCCTGAGCACTCTCTCTGGAAAAAATCTCTGCTCTCCTGCCGACCTTGGCTCTGCCGGGGCTTTACATCATCGCAGTGCTGATGGATGATGCACTTTGCCGATCAATCGCTCCCGCAGATCTGACCCCTCGCTGGAGCTGGCTCTGACGCGCTCACACTAGGGTTGTTTCCCTCTCTGCCCAGCCTGCTCTCCCCGTTCTGTGGGACAGAGCACCCTGGTACCCAGGGACTGTGCCCACCTCTCCTAACCCTGTTATCTTCCTTCTTCTAGTCCTCTTTGTACACTGCACACCAATAGCTGTTCCTCTGTAGCCCACCTGTAGTACCAAGAAGTTGTCCCAGGTCCTATCTTGAATGCCAAGTGGTTTAGATCATGTTTATTTTGGGGGTGATGCTCTTTCCTGGATGAGTGTCTCATGGTATAGCCAGAGGTGCAGATCTGCACTGTGGGTTCCCTGTACTAAGTGTCAGGAGCTCTTCACTCCCTGACAGCAAAGGGCTGAAAATATACATGAAAATATACATGGAGATATATGGAGATAGACATGGAGATATATGGAGATAGACATGGAGATATATGGAGATATAATATTCAGGCAAGGGAGGATGTAGTTCTTTATTGCCACTTGGATATTTTAATAACAGGTTCATAAAATCACAGCTGGAAGTTACCTGAGCCTCAGAGCTATAGAAAAGCTTTATAAATCTTCTCATAATTAGAAGCAAAATTCTCTTACAGCTGCCTTTGGGTTTGTGCCACTTTGGTTCTTAGGGAGGATTACTGCAAACCAATACCTGAAGCTCCTCCTTTAGTGCTGGCAAAGTTAATGGTCTCTATGCTTTTCCCCCTGGTTTGTTTCTTTTCCATTGGCTTTTTCTCCCAACTGTTCTGGATATGTGGTAATTCAATGCCAAAGCTCAATCTCTCTTACAGAGAGGATTTCAGCTAGGTTTGTGTTGTACAGGCATGAGCAGTGTAGTTGTCTGGTTTAAAAGTTAACTGGGACTTTCCTATTTCATGTGTCGTATTTTGCACTTCAACTTCCATCTTATGAAGACAGATTGGTTTGTTCAGGGCTAACTTGTCCGACCCAGTTTCAGAGTCTCTGTTCTGGGGGTACTTGGTAATCAAATGCTGGTTTTTTTTGCAAATAAAAAAAGAGACTTCCTTGAAGCAGAGATGAAATCATAGTATCCCAGAGTGGTTTGGGTTTGGAAGGACCTTAAAGCTCATCTCATTCCACCCCCTGCCATGGGCAAGGACACCTTCCACTAGCTCAGGTTGCTTCAAGCCCTGTCCAGCCTGGCCTGGAATACTCCCAGGGATGGCTACTGAGGGACAAAGTAGGGCAGTAACCTTTAACAGAGCAAAAAATTTACTTTTCAACCCTGTGCTGTCACTACAGAAGTGCGAAAAAAAATCTACTGGGAGCTGTAAATTAATCTCAGGAGGAAGCACAGAGCCCAGGTAGACTTTAAAGTGTGGCAATTCAGCTCAGGGTAACAGGATGAAGCTCTGCTGAGTCACAGAAGTGTTTTTTCTGAGGTCTCTTGAACATATCCTAGTGAGAGTTGTGGGTTTCAGGATATCTAGGGTAATACATTGAAAATATTGAGAGTTTAGGAGCTTCCTACCAGTCCTTGGTGAGAAAAAGCATTGGAGTTTTGAGGTAGGGAACTTGCCAAGTTAGTTATGCTTGGGATTAAGAAGATGAGCTTAAGTGATTAGTTTATTTTTATCTGGCTCTTCCTGAGCACAGCCTTCATTCTGCAGGGCTGTGTGTGTGCAGGGGTAATTTAGGGCTCTGCTTAGCTTGGAAACAACTTGCAAACTTAGACATTTTCCAACCTAATCTTTCAAAATTGGAGTGTTGCATCTTCAGACACAATTGAGATTTCCAAATAGAAATAAAGAGATAAGAGCTGCTGGTTTGGGATCTTGCAAAGTCTGTGCAAGACAGAGTTCTGGCAGAATAGAGGGGCAGGTGGCCAGAGGATATCCTGTGTGTGGACTGAGAACTTCCACCCCTGCTGCAGGAATTCCTAGTCATTCCTTGGTAGTAATCTGCTGTTTCCCAGCCTCACATCCGTCTTCTTTGGCTATGTTTGTGTCCATGAGCATTTTCAATCCTGATCCTCAGGCTCTCACCCTTTAAACATGACAACTGGTCTTTTTTACTGTTTTCTCCCACTTCGAGCTGCACTATCTTCACAAACTGTTATTATCACACCACTTTCTGAATGGCAACGTTACTGTCTCCTTGCTCACACAGTTTCTGTAAATGGCTCGACAATAAATGCCTCGTTTGACTGAAGGCAGTGAATATCTAACCTGACTTCCTTTTCCAGGTATTACCCCTGCCTGCTGCCGGTTGTTTCAGAGCCCTGTGAGAATGCTGTGCTACACAGGTACCCTCTGAGCTTCTCAGCCAGCCCGTGCAGTATCCTGGAAGCCTTAGATTTAGTTCCTTTGTAGTCTCCTTGTCTTGTGCCAGAGGACAGGTAGTCCCTGCAGGCTGCTGGTTAACAATCCTCACGAGCTCTGAGCAATCCTCACCCCTTGCTAATACTTGCTTCACACATAGCTTAGGCAGCAACTGGAGGCTTAGGGTGTTCCTCTCTGATATGGATGTGATTTTCCTCCCAGATATGTGGGTCAGTCTTGCTTTCTCGAGCTGGGAATTCATTGCTCACATCTGGCTCTGATAATGCCTCCGAGGAACAAGCTGCTATTGTCTGCCCCTCTGTGTATTCAGTGTGGAACTGGGGTGGGTCTGGTGGAGGCAGTGAAACTGCTTTGCATCTGGGCTTGGTGATGAAATGTTTGCTGGGTTCAGCCAAAATGAACTGGGGTGCCTAGAAGGCAATGGGAACTAGTTTCTTGTGTGCAGGAGCTGACCCAAGTGGAGCTGGGACAGTAGGTACTCACCCTGGTAAGTGCTGAGGAACTGGTGTCTCCTTTGCTCTGGTTTTTCTGGGAAAAAAAAAACTTTTCAGGAGTTAATATAATGTTGGCAGAGGTAAGTGTGTGATGACACCTGACTTAGGCTTTGCTGGGTGGTGAATGTAACCCAGGGGAGTTCTTTAAATGAAGGAAAAGGTTCTAGGTTCACAGGGAAGAGGTTTATTCTTTCCATGCCTTGAGCTGAGTATGAGAGATCACAAGGGAAGTAGGACCTGGGAATCAGCCAGAGTGTGCCATCCTACTGCAAAACAGGGAGATCTTAACTTTCCTAAGTTATGGAAGTGTTTGCTATTATTGTGAGTGGAAACTTCCCCATCCTGTGCTTTCAGCTCCTGAGTTTCATGCTCTGTGCCTGAACAGTGCCACGTTTCAGTTGTGGAGTGTGGCAGAGTGGCTCAGGATGGGAACTGCTAGTGAAATGAATATTAAATCCATATCTTGGGTAGATCTTCCAACTATTTTATAGTCTTCTGTGAGCTCTATAGAGCCTGACAAAGGAGGGCAACAAAGATGATGAAGGGCCTTGAGGGGAAGCTATATGAGGCTAAGGGCACTTGGTCTGTTCAGGTTGGAGAAAAGGAGACTGAGGGGAAACCTCATTGCTGTATACAATTTTCTCATGAGGGGAAGGTAAGGGCAGGCACTGACCTCTCTTGCAACCAGTGACAGGACCTGAGGAAATGGGCTGAAATTGTGTCAGGGGAGGGTTAGGCTGGACATTTGGACAAGGTTCTTCCCCTAGAGGTGTTTGGGCGCTGGAACAGCTCCCCAGGGTTGTGGTCACAGCCCCAAGCCTGACAGAGCTCAAGAAATGCTTGACCAATGCTCTCAGGCACATGGTGGGATTCTCAGGGATGTCCTGTGCAGAGCCAAGAGTTGGATTCAATCATCCTTGTAGGTCCCTTCCAAGTCTGCATATTCTGATTCTTTCAGAACAGGAAGGTCAGAGCTGATCCTGCTGGGTAAGGTGGAGTGAGCAGCCTCTCTTAGGGGCACAGATTCCTGCAGTAAGGACTGGATGCTCCTATGTCTCTCTTTCTCTCCTAGGTTTAACTGGAGTGAGCTGATCCCTGTGCGGCTGTGGGGCAGGAGCCTGGGCCTGCAGACAGCAAACTCCCAGTTCCTGCTGGAAGGAATGCCCTTCCGCATCTTTGGAGGGTCAATGCACTACTTCCGAGTGCCCAGGGAGTACTGGGAGGATCGAATGCTAAAAATGAAAGCCTGTGGCTTAAACACCCTCACCACGTAAGTGTCCTCACTCCCCAGGGGCCTCACAGCCTCTCGCTTCCTCCACAGCAGCTTTTGCCATTAATTCCAGTGGGCCATAACAATGTGTTTCCATAGTTGTTATGGGAAAAGAGTAGTGGGGACTCAGGTTTTCTTGAAGCATCCCAAATTTCAGTGTCCTTCACCTCCCCTGCCCTAACTCTGCCTTTCAGGTATGTGCCATGGAACCTTCACGAGCGAGAGAGAGGGAAGTTTGACTTCAGTCAAAACCTGGATCTAGAGTATGTGGTACAGACAGCTCTGTCATTCAGTGCTCTGTTTTGAGGGGAGGGTGTGCCTGTGGGTTCTGGAGGAAGATGTTGTTTCCAGCTTCTGAAGCAAAGCTATGCCTTGATCAGGAGATTCTCAGTCCTTCCCCTGCCTTCTGGAGCTCTGGGAGCTTAATGGGTTTAGCACCAATCCTGTAGAATTGCTTTATCAAGCAATTCCCTTCTGGTTTTGGGAGCTAAATTTCCTGGTGGTTGGAGTATTAGGAGTGCCTGGAGTTGGGATTCTGCAGGCAGACAATAACTCTGCTGTCTGGATCTCTAGGGCCTTCCTTTCCCTGGCAGCTAAAAATGGACTGTGGGTGATCCTGCGCCCTGGGCCTTACATCTGCTCAGAATGGGACCTTGGTGGTCTGCCCAGGTGAGTGGGTAAATGGTTCTATTCAGGGAAGCATTTGGGACAAACAAACCCTAAATCCCTGTTCATACAGCTGAGCCTCCTTCAAAGATTCAGAATTGGCTGCTAGATGGGGAGAGTTATTCTTTCTGTCCCCAAAGCAGGTGAATACTCATTATCTTAATGAGCTCTTCTAATTTGGTTTTTGTTTGAGTGTTTATCTTTAAAATAATAACACTGCTATGGCATCATGCTTACAGCAAGAAAACAGAGTTGGAGAAACTCATCTATTGCTGTTGTACCTTGACTCACTCTGATATGAATAGAACTATTTGCAGTTGTTGTAAGAATTTCCTTCATCTCAGGCCCATTTTTAAAAGTCCTACTAGAACCTCTGCACATTTCTCTACATTTCCTGTACATCACTGGCTAACAGTAACAAAGACCCACAACTTTTCCAGCCTCTTGTTGTATTTCCCCACACACAACTTGCTGTAAGAGGCTTGGAGAAAGTGAACACATCAGCACTGGGACTTGCCTGGATACTGGATACCAGTGGAACCAGTGCTGGGTTACCTACACCACTTGTTTTCCTCAGCTGCTCTAGAGCATAAACCTCAGTGGAGACACTTGGCAAAATGTGGGGATTATTCCTTTTAATCTTTTCACTTTGCTTGTGGCATCAGGGAGTTCAGGTGAAGAACTGCCAAGCTGTGTCAGGGACTTACAAGGGCAGAGCTACCTGTGACCACAGCCAGGAACCAAATCTCTGTTAGATTATGAGCAGTACATCTATTGTCAGCTGCTGCCACATCACCCATGTACTTTTTTTTTTTTGGCAGATTAAATAAACTGATAAAGAGCAGCAGTTTTGATTCTGATAAACAGCAACAATTCTCATTTTACAGATAAAGAGATGATTTTTGTGAGCCCACAGAGCTGCATTGTAGCCTAGAGGAGCTGAGTCTTTCAGACTTCTGGAAGGATATTAGTTAATACCTCTTTTTGCAGAGACAAAAGGTACAGCCTCACTCTGCTTAGATTGTTACAGCACTGTATTGTTCTGCTCTTCAACAAATTGCCCTTTTCTGTGCTAACCCCAAACAGAACTAAGTCTTGTAAGTAGGAACAATGAGAACAATTACTGGAAGCTTTGTTTGAGCAATGTTTGGGATTTTTATGAAGGAGCACTTGGTTGTAGAGTGCCCTAGGGAATGCAAGGAATTCCAGAGTAACCTTTAGAGTGATAAGGTTAGCCCTTGAAATGTTTTGGGCAAGTTTATGGAATGGGGAAGAGATTGGCAATTGCAGCCTGGACTCATTTAAAAGTGTGAGTTGGTGAACAACCTCAGCCTCACAGGGTGTTGTTCACTGCCTCACTGTGTCATCCAGAGCTGCACTATGAGCTTGGCCAAGTGTCACAGAGACACCAATGATCCCTGCCCATGTGTGACTGATGTTGGGTGCTGGTGTTACCCCTTGGCAGCTTGAACAGGAGACTCTTAACAATTCTGTGTGCTGCTTTTCTATAGCTGGTTACTGCAAGACCCAGAGATGCAGCTGAGGACGACATACAAGGGCTTCACAGAAGCTGTGGATGCCTATTTTGATCACCTAATGCCTGTTGTTGTCCCTCTCCAGGCAAGTATAATCCTTTACCCTCTCCCTGAGTGGGGACTGACTGCTGAGTGTGAGCTGTGTGTAACAGCAGCAGGTTAAGTAACAATTTGAATAACAAATGCACCAGTTTTGCTCTAGGAACCAGCGTGGGCTGTGGTTGTGTCAGTTTGGGAGGGTGGAGCTGAGTCCATCTGAGACTGGTGCATCTTTCCTGCAAGCCAATGTCACTGTTACTGTGTTCCCTGTGATTAGATCCTGGTGAACAGTTTCTCCCTTCTGTTCCCCACAGTACAAGAGAGGAGGTCCCATCATTGCAGTGCAAGTGGAGAATGAATATGGTTCCTATGCCAAAGACCCAAACTACATGACCTATGTCAAAATGGTAATGTTGGCATGTTTACTTGTTTTTGTGGTCAATCTCTCCCATAAACACCTTCCTCAGAGTGTTTTCTTTCTTCTGACTAACTTTTGAGTGTGGCTTCAGAGACCCTCAAAAGCATCAGTGCCTGATCCAGCTGCATTTCCCTTGATGTTTCTTTCTGGAGTGGAAGAGGAGGCATATGACCCTCACAAAACTGAACAGCCTGTGTTCTTATGTCTCCCAGAGAAGGTGATAGGGACGTGGGGGGTATCTGTGTTGCATAGCTGGGCTGGAAGAAGCTGTCTCCTGTGGGTCCTGTTTTGCTTCTCTTAGATGACATTAGATAAAGGTTTCTGTGTTGACTTTCCTGGGAGGAAGTTTGATGGGAACAAGCCACCAACACACTCCTAAACTTGTGTTAGCTCAGCTCAGCATCAGGCAGCTTAATTTGCCTAATGCCTCTCTTACCCCTGTCAAACAGAGCTTAGAGTGTGCCCTGGCTCCTGCCTCTGGCTGAGTGGAAAGGAGTTGGCCCATGCCCATGGAGGCAGCCTTATCCTGGTCTGACCTGTTCATCAGCCTCCAGCACAACTGCAGGGCAGGCAGATAACAAGATCTGCAGTGTGTGTGACAAGGTCCTTGTTTAATTTCTTCTCACTGAATGCTTGAAAGTGCTGCTGCACGTGAGAGAAGTTACCCATCCAACATGGGCTGTAAATTGTATGTTCCCTGCTCTTCTGCTGCAGCATTATCAGATCCTTCTGAAACCCTTTGGGTACCCCAGACTCAGGCTCTCAGCTTGTCCTCAAGGTGTACAGAGGCTCTTCAGCCACATAAATCCCATGGCAGAAGTGCTAATCTGCTTAGAGTGGTGCCTGCTCCTGCACTAACTCCATCTCGTGGAGTGATTTAACTTTGCCTCTAAGATTCAATATGAAATATATATACAGACAAGTTAGAGAGGTAATGCCAAGCAAATGGTTTTCAGAGCCATAAATGAACAGGGCACAGAGACTCGGTGGAATCTGGATATCCTGCATTCTCATCCTTGCTTTTCCATGGCTCAGTGAGGAAAGAACTTGTGCTGTTTCACTTGTCAGGACAGATTCCCTTGCCAGGCCTGTGGGTGTGTTTTTGCAGTGCTGTTTCATCATATTCTGGGGTTGTGTGCAGTTTACATCTGAGGAAGTGTAGTAGAGTGGTTAGAGATGAAAATGTGGGAAAGCAGGATTTGCAGGGATTCCTTTTTGGGCTGGAGTGGGATCTGCTGTGAGGTGGGGCTCCTAGTCTTTGTTCTGGTTTGTGCCTCGAGCTTTGAATGTGGCAAGGTGGTTAATTCACATCTGAATCTAGTACACATGACCAAGTTGCAATCTTCCTGGAATTAATACACTCCTTAAAAACACAGCTCACACAAAACCTCACATCCCTGTCCTTATCTCACTCCTCTGGCTGCAGTGCCTTTGCCTTCCCAAATGTGAAGGCCACCAAAGGGTGTGTTGGCACATCCCTCCCCACACAGTGCTGAGCTGGGATTAGCTGTGGTGTCTGTCTCAGAGGCTGTTTCTATTCCTGCTCCTCTGCTGCACCCTGCAATCTTGTGCTGCATTTCAATGTGTGGCAGCTCTGCTGCCTCTCCAGTTTGCACTTTGTATTCAAAAGGAGGGCAAGAAACTAAGTGTTGGTGCAGTGCTCAAAGAATTACCCTAATAAAATCAGTTAGAATTTCCCAGTTCCCTTGCAGCAGCTGAATTGTGTCAGGTTCCAGCACCAAGTGAGTGCTGATGGGTTGATAAACTCACCAAGCTGTCTCAGCTCTGGACTGGGGTTGTGTTTAACCTCTGGTGTTGTAATGTTTCTCTAGCTGTGTGCAATGCTCAGCTCTGCTCTTTGTTCAGGCATGTGCCAAGAGCAAAGGGCTTTATCACCATTCCACAGTGAGTAATTTAGGCTGAGGAGGCTGAAGCCTTGTTTTCAGAGCTCCTGGGAGCTGCAGGAGTGATTTCCAACATAAGCACAGAGAAAAGAGGGGTTAATTTGCAACTAGGGTTTCCTAATCTCTCCTTCAAACATCAGCCACTGCTCTGTTAAAAAACAACTGCAGGAGAACAACCCTAATGGGGAGAACCTTGCGTGTGCAGATGTATTTTAAAACCTTGGAGTGCCATTTCCTACAGTGCTGTGATATGGAAGAGCCACTAAATTCATTGACTGTTGAAGAACATCAGTACCTGAGCTGTCCTGTGATGGCATTCCCTGCCAAACCAGCTGTGCCCCCCTTTCAGCTTCCATGGGCAGGCAGGCAGGAAGGGTGAGCTGCTCTTCCTTTTCTCCTTCCTCCTGAAGGTCTCTTGTGATGAAAGCAGCGAAGCTATTTATGAATCTGATCCCAGAAGATAAAATCCTGAAGGTGGATGCCTCAGTGAGGAACTGATCCAGCTTTCTGATACGAAATAAGATTTCCCAATTGAAGAATTAGGCAGGGAAACTTCAGGAGGAATGGGAGATGTCACAGGAATCATATGTTATACCAAGCCCTTACCAGTCCCAGGCTGTCCACAGAGAAGGTGATACTGTAATGCTCTGATACCCTGACAAATACTAAACTCTGCTAACACCATGGTTTTTCCTCCTTTTAACTCAGGCCCTGTTGAACAGAGGGATCGTGGAACTGCTGATGACCTCAGACAACAAGAATGGGCTGTCCTTTGGCTTAGTGGAAGGAGGTAAGTGCTTGGGCAAGGGAAGGCTGTGATCTTTGGGGCTGCTGAGCAAGCACAGCCTCTGAAGGAGAGCAGGAAGCTTCATTCACTGAGCTGTACCCTGAACTGTGCTCTGTTTGTGGTAGGAGGGACCCCTTGGCTGGATGGTGCACACCAGAGCAAACCCATTCATTTCCCAGAAAGGTTTAGAGTAAATTTTCCACAGAAGCTGTAACAGTGCCTAGGGTTGAACATCTCTACTTCCCAGTGAGTTGAGGTGGCAGCACACAGCATTGTTTGGTGTTTCACCAGCTTGCAAGGCTGAAAATACTACTTATTGCTTCATTGCAATATATATTAAACAAGTCATAAACTCTCTGTAATGACTTACTCCTAAACCAGCTGCTTTGCAGTTAAAAAGAGAAGAAAGAAGTCCATGTAAACCTCAATTCTGAAATCATTCTGTTAGTTTAGCAGCAGTTTGTGGGGCAGCCTTGTCTCCTCACCAAGCTGGCTCTGGCCTTAGGTGGGTAAAAGAGGGTTCCAGATGTGCATAATGCAAAAGGATGTCCATTTTCCTTTCACAAAGGGTAAATCTATTAAGATTTAAAACGCTGCTTAGCACCCTCCTGCTTTTCCCTGTGAGGAAATGCAGCTGAGCCCCAGTTCTGCCTGTTTGGGGCACAATGTAACACTCTGATCCTCAGATCTGCAGCTCAGTGCAGCTGAGATTTCCTCTGATCTCTCCTGTGTTCTTGCCTGTGATTGCTCCCCAGATGAAGTGTTTGCAGGGTGCTGAGTGCCCCTGTCACCACTCACTCTTAAATAATGTTCATTTTCCAAGCTCAGACACGGAGCTGATTAAAGGGAAGGGCTTTTCCCTCCTTATTTTCCCCCTCCTCTTGGTTTTATATGTCAGTATGAGGGTGACCAGCTCAGTAACTCTGAAGTCCATGGCCCTTCACCAGCACAGTGATCTCCTCCTTTAGATAATTTTTTTTTGGCTGTGCAGCAGTTTTCAGCTGTGACCACACAGAGTCACTCTCTCCCTGCCAGAGAGCTGGCACAAGAAGGGCTGGTGTGGAAATCCCTGCTCAGCCCTCACCTCCTCTGGGAATTGCTTTGCTGCGTCACAGCTCGTTCCCAATCCGAGTTGTCTTTTCCAGCCTGTTCATGCTGAGAGCTCTTTGATACCAATTTGCCTCTTAGGTGTCACAACATTCTGCTCATTAGAGTCAACATGTCAGGTAATCAGATGTGTGGAATAACTGGGACCTAAAGCAGGATAGCAGCAAGGTGCTAGGAAGGGGAAAGGAGAGGCAAGAATCACTTCCCATCCCTGGAGTGTTCCAGGCCAGGGTGGATGGGGCTTGGAGCAACCTGGGCTAGTGGAAGGTGTCCCTGCCCATAGCAGGGGGTGGAAGAAAATAATCTTTATGGTCCTTCCAACCCAAACCAGTCTGTGTTTCTAAGAATCCCAATGTGGGTAGCTCTGATCTGAGCTGGTACAGCCCTTCTGGGCCTCGTGGATGACAACACAAAACCTCTGGTGTCCCTCATGGCTGCAGGACCATGGTGGGAAGCTGTGTGTGAAAAGTACATCCTGTGAGAAGGGTGAATAAAGCTTTGAGGCCTGGTTCTCCCTTTTCAATGGTGTCTGTTCATCTACACAAACAGCAGAGTTGGGCATGTTCTCCTTCAGGATTGCTCACTAATACATTGCATCAGTCCTAAATCCATAGTTTTTTGTTCTCCCTCCATGTTTTCTGTGCCAGACTCTTCAGCTCAGCACACCACGTAGGTCAGCCTATTAAAATCAAGGTATAAATAGGTAATACATTGCATCAGTCCTAAATCCATGTTTTTTTGTTCTCTCTCCATGTTTTTTGTGCCAGATTCTTCAGCTCAGCACACCACATAGGTCAGCCTATTAAGATCAAGGTATAAATAGTCAGGAGCAAGCTTTTGCCTCTGTAAATATTCTGTTTGAAGTGCTCTGATGACACAACTGGGACTGGATTTGATACCAGCTGTCTTGTAAGAAGTCAGTTCTTAATACAGAATCCTATCATTCCTCCTGCATTTTTGAAGTTTCTTTGGGAGAAATATCAGTGTGCTAAGGGTTAGAGGAGTATGAAAATGGTTCAGATGTGTACCAGGGGCTGTGACACTGATCCCAGATGAGTGTCCTGTGTCCTGCACACAGGTCTTCCCACTGCAGTGCTTGCAGACCCTGCAGCACACACAGTCCAGCTGCAGTTCCCCCACACTGCAGAGGGCAGAAGCACAGGTAACCCTTCCAATTCCAATTCTCTCTGGCTGACTTATGCTGTGGTTTCTCTCACTCACCCCCACAGACATCACAAGCTGCAAGATATTGCCTGGGTAGCAATTCCTGCAGCTAAAGCCTTGGGAGATCAGTGTGGCATCCAGATATGACTTTCTAATAAGTTTGCCTTTATGTGGTGCCTTTTATCTGAGGATCTCCAAGTGCTTTGCAGGCTCTAATTAAAGCTTGTGACACCCCATGAGCTGCTCTGGTGCTCTCTCTTTCTGGTGTCTCTGAACAGTAGAGCTAAGATGGTCTGTGAGTATTCCACTGTGTGCTGACTCCAGTTGGATTGTGCATACCAAGCGAAGACTTTGATGGGGAATTTCTGAGGAGGTTGTTTTAGTGGTTCAGATGATGTTCCTGTTCCCCCCAGAGTTTGTGCTGGGCTGATGCCTAAGGAGATAGTTCCCTAGGCATTTTGTGTGACTCTGAATTAATAAAGCCTGTTTTTTTTTCCCACTAGCCCTGGCTACTGTTAACTTCCAGAAGCTGGAACCTGGGCTGCTGAAATACCTGGACACAGTACAGGTAGGATGCAGAAACACTTTGTTCATCCACTATTTCCAGTGCAGCATTAAAATTGAACCACTGATAATGTGTTTAGGTTTTGTGTGTTGGTTTAGGCCTCCTCATTAGGTCAAATCCCTCTGAAATCAGGGGAGGATTTAAGCATAGTGTTATCCAGCACCTTCTATCCAGCTGTGTTTGGCTGTTAGGGGTTAGATTTCTTCACACATCCAAATGTTGATACCCAGCAGCATCCTAGTTCACAACTCTCAGACCTCTCTCTTGAAGTTCCATCATCTTTTCCCAAACTCTTTCACCCTGATGCTGTGAATGCTGTCAGGAGTGTGTTTGAAATCTGGTGAGCTGCTGCAGTTCTTTCAGGGTTCACTGTGGTGGGTGTTGCAATCATCTCCAATACCTCATTTTCACTGTAGATTTGTGAAGTTTTGGGGTGTGGCTTGAGCATCTTTAACTCCCTGTGCTGCCAGAGGTGTCAGTCAGGGAGGGAATTGCCTGATGAACACTTGATGTGAAAAGTATCCTGATAGTGAGGGAATAGCAAGTTTGGTTTGTAGTAAGAGATTATCTCTTTGCATCCTCTCTCATCTTCTTTCCCTGTTGCTCTGCTTGTTTGAATGAAGAATATGAGCAACTGACATCTGCCCCTGACTGATTCTCTTCTCACCTCTTCCCTTGTTTTTTTCCTGGATGGAAAGGCAGCCTTGCTCCTGGACATTGAATCCTGCAGCTTTCAGCTCTTTTCCTTCCCTGTGCTAGCAAAAGAGACTCTGCTGCATGTGCTTTCACCTTCTTTTGGGCTTCCAAAATCCCCCAACCCTTACAAGTGAACAGAAGGTGGTACCTTCCCCCCAAAATGAAGGCAACATGACCCCAAAAAAGCAACTCCTCCTCTGCCACACTGACTAATTACAAGATAGGAAGCCTTGTCATTCTTGTTTGTAGGGATTATGAAGCTGTTATCTTTCCTTTGTTATGGGCTTTTGTTCCAGAGGGTGATAAAATTCCTTCTTTGACTGGTTTACTGCAGATGGATTGATTAACCATATTTCCAAGAGCTGCTCTGTACCTGGAACATTCAGCTGATTACAGGCAGTTGTTTTCTCCTAATGAAACACGAGTTTCTTTAATGCCACTTACCTTAGCCAATTCCTGTGGCATCAGGTAAAGCCTCTCTCAAATCAAAGGCAAAATTGACTGGAAATAAAGACCATGAGGCTGGAGTGGCACCAGGCTGAGCACATGTTGTCCTGTCTGGTGTGATGGGGCTGAGTGGAATTCTACAGGAGCTGAGGGAACTGGCAGGGGGTGACAAATGGGAAGCAATTGCTCTGTGTGCAGAGCCTTTAATGAAGACCTAATTCCTGCAAAGGCTAATTCTTCCCTGCCAACACCATATGCAGCATTAAAAAGGCATTAAGCAGCTAAGGTCTGCTGTTCTACCTTGGCAAGCACTGCCTGCCCTGCACCTGCAAACTCTCAGCTGGCAGTGATGTGGCAGATAAGCAGACATTAATAAATGTGTGTTTCTAGCAGAAACTAAACAGTGACAGTTGGTTTGTCTTTTTTTTTTTTTGCCTTTTTGCTGCAGCTCTACCAAACAACAGCATGCAGAACTCTTTGGTATCACCTGGTTGTGTGCTGTGGTTTTTGCACAAAGTTTTGCTTGCCTGTTCTGGGCATTGCTGGCCCACAGCAACTTGTTCCTCACACCTCCACAGCTCCTTAGCTGCCTTTTTTTCTATGCTAGTTGAGAAGAAAACCCTCCTGTAAAACCAGGTCACCCAGCTGGATTTGAACACTGCTTCTCTAGAAAACAGGGATGAGTGAAGACTGCCCTGAATCCGTTTTAACTCTTGGTTTTTGTTTTGACACAGAGAGATCAGCCCAAGATGGTGATGGAGTACTGGACTGGGTGGTTTGATAACTGGGGAGGACCTCACTATGTCTTTGATGCAGATGGTGAGCACCAAATACTGTTCTGTTGACACCCTTTGTGGGAATATGAATTTAAGGCTCTTGGGAATGTAGCACCTTCTGAAAAGTATCAGGGTTGGGGTTGGGTTTTTTTTTTCTGGTTTAAAAGCTCATTAAGGAGACTAGTACTTAAAAAAATAAACCAACAACTCCAGAACCTCCAGGGCATCTCAAGTGCAGGGAAAACAGAGCTATATGAGACTGTTTTAATGGCTCTCTTATCCTCCTGCAATTGTCTTTGTAATTGGGTCATTAGTGTGTTCAGTTTATGAGTCTGACTGAGGAGTCCTTACAACTCCTCTGCTTCAGAGCAAAATTCCTGATGGAGACCATGAGCTTTACCCTTTAGCACCTAGGGGAGAAGATTATTTGAATGTATTTAGGTGTCCTGGTGCATCAGTAGATGTTCTGCCCTCACTGAGGGCAAAAATCACAACACACATCACTATAACTGCACGGATGTGACTGACTGACTGGGCTCAGAATGTCGTAGATGTTCTGCCCTCACTGAGGGCAAGATCACAACACACATCACTGTAACTGCACAGATCTGACTGACTGACTGGGACCTGTCAGTGTGTGTCTGCTCTGAGTTGTTGGCAGTGTTGTAGCCCAGATTTGTGGTCTGTGGCCCCCCTGGCACTGCCCTTCCCTTGCAGAAATGGTGAATACTGTGGCCAGTGTCCTCAAAACAGGAGCATCCATCAACCTCTACATGTTCCACGGAGGCACCAACTTTGGCTTCATGAATGGAGCTCTGGAAGCTGATGAGTACAAGTCAGATGTCACCAGTTATGGTGAGTTTTCTTGCACTGCCTTGTGTGGACACCTGTGGTGAGAGCACAGCTCTGACTACCCTTGGGCAAGAAATACTTGGAAATGAGCAGAGCAACCACTTTGTCATGGAGAGGTGAAGTGGGACAGAGCTCAGAAGCAAATGCCTGTCTAAAAAGGGGCTTAGTGTTTCCTTTTTCCAAACCCATTTCAGTATGTGGAGGATCCTCTTATTCTGATCTATGAACAAAAGTGTCACAAATGATGACTTTCCTTCATGAAAGCTCCATGCTGACTCTTCTTTCTTGGAAGAGATGGTGATCCAAGACACCATTCTGGTGTTTAGTTACCAAGTCAAATTGTACCCCAAATCTCTTTTCATCCCTTTGTTAAAATTCTTAATGGTTGACTTAGTCCTGTGTGAAATCCTGGATATGTGCAAATTAAGGACCTCTATAAGATGTAGCTCTTTGGTGAGTGGCTCTTCTCCAAATTAAGCAACTCCATGATTATTTAGCTGCATTCACTCAGAAAAAAATGTGTAGAGGTTTGCATAATAAAAACATAGCCAAGGAAATTGTGTCTTCTTACACGAAGCTGTCCCAGAGCTGTTCTGTGTTTTGAAACCACATGTGTTGCTTTCCCAGATTATGATGCTGTGCTGACAGAGGCTGGAGACTACACATCCAAGTTCTTCAAGCTCCGACAGCTCTTCAGCATGATCATTGGTAATTATCACCCCAGGAACCCAAACACTCTTTTACCTACAGTGTTCCATGAGGGAATTGCTTAAACTGGCCCTTCTGCTGGAGCCCTGGCCCTCTGCTTGGTTGGGAGCTAAAAGGTGGGAGGGAGAACCCAAAGGAGGTTTAAATCTGTGCTGTCTGAAGTAGTTGTTCCACCTTTGTCTTTCCTGTTCCACCACAGGTCAACCTCTCCCTCTGCCTCCCATGATTGAAAGCAAAGCATCGTATGGAGCAATCCTGTTACACCAATACATCTCCCTCTGGGATGTGTTACCATCTCTTCTACAGGTAGCAACACCCATTTTAATGCATCTCAGAGCTAAAAAGCATCACCTCTTATGAAGTAGTTGTTCCACCTTTGTCTTTCCTGTTCCACCACAGGTCAACCTCTCCCTCTGCCTCCCATGATTGAAAGCAAAGCATCGTATGGAGCAATCCTGTTACACCAATACATCTCCCTCTGGGATGTGTTACCATCTCTTCTACAGGTAGCAACACCCATTTTAATGCATCTCAGAGCTAAAAAGCATCACCTCTTAAAAAGTAGCAACACCCATTTTAATGCATCTCAGGGCTAAAAGGCATCACCTCTTCGGTGCAAAAGGCAATCAGTGCACTCACTTGTTACCCCCTGAGGATAAGACTGGGAAATGTTTTATCAAAGTTATGCAAAGGAAGCAAATATTTATCTTACCTTTTTTCCTGCTGCTTCTGTTCCCTTGGAATTCCAGTTTTGCAAGCCCTTGGTTCCCTTTCCTTGTACTTTGCCTTCATTGCTGTAGCTTTCCCAGAGGCATGAGGCAACTCAGGTTAGACCAGACCTCAGGAGGCTTTTGGGGAGGAGGAAATATAACCTGTGGCAGGAACACCTGCCTTCCATTAACTGCCTCCAGGTGGCCTTGGCACTGCTGAGAGGCCATTCCTGATGTCAAATTTGCTTCTCCTTTGCAGCCCATTAAGTCAGAAGTTCCTGTCAACATGGAGAATCTGCATCTAAATGACAGCACTGGGCAGTCCTATGGCTATGTGCTCTATGAGACTGTCATATTTGGGGGTGGACACCTGCACACGAGGGACCACGTCCGTGACCGAGCACAGGTAAGAGGCAGAGGGTTCCTTAGTGCCTACCAAGGCAGAGGGAAATGCTTTGCTCTGGGCAACTAGGCTGGAAATGGGGCAAAAATGTGAAGTTTAGGTCAAGAGTGTGATTTGCTCTCCCTAGTTCTCAGCTAAGCCCCAACCCTTATCATTTGTAATTCTAATCTACTCAAATTGACCATATCATTAAAAGCAGAATACTGAACATTCTGAAAAATGTTGTGGGTTTTTTATTCCCACCTGGGCTGAATCAGGGACACAGTTATGGACACTGAGTTCTAGTGTCAAGTAGAGACCATTTCTCCCCCCCCAAAATACAACTCCAGTAGCTGTGCAAGACCTGGTTATAGTCTGACTGATGAGAAGTTGCTCTGTCTCTTGTGCTCTGCAGGTGTTTGTGAACACAGTGTATGTGGGGGAGCTGGACTACAACACAGTGGAGCTCTCCATTCCTGAGGGACAGGTAACTAACTGCAGATTGCTCACAATAATGGTGTGTGGATAACAGATCCAGGACCACTAAAGAGGCTTAGCCCCCAGGAAGGGAACTCCCACCTCACCCAGAGTAGCTGGTACAGTGCCCTGACACAAGGAATGGTGGTTACACCCAAATTAGACACCATCTCACTAGTGAAATACAGTGAGATTTCACTGCCAGGTTACTATTTGTGATGGAAAAGTGGGGTTTGAACCATTTCCATGCAGAAACTCTCTGCAGCACAAGGTTTGCCAGCACTCCTGCCACAGCCACAGCTGTAGACATTGAGTACCTCTACCCTGTTGGTGTTTATAGGCTTCATCTTCCTTAGCACAGAGCAGGTTTTCAGGGGACTTGGGGCCTTTTGCACCTTTTAGGCCTCAAATGCAATGAGGAGGAAATGTCTCTAGCTCTGAGAGTAGCCTCACCCTGGCAGGAGTTGGCACTAAGGGTAATGTATGGATTGAACATGTCAACAGTGTTGACAAGTGTGTGTGAGGTTCTAGGAGCAGGTGAGGTGTGGATTCACTAGGTGTTGTTATGGCTTGAGGCAGAGTTTGTGACACAACCCTCACCTATATCAAACTCCATCTCTGGCTCTGTGAGTGAAATAAAAATGAGACTTAAAAATCCAACAGAAAACAACCCAGAAAACTTCTGTGCAAAGGCTTAGAGTTCCTCAGTGGTAACTGTTTGCAGTAGCAGAACTTGAAAGGGAACTGAGAGATTCCAACTGCCACCTCCCCTCTTAAACACCTCTCCTGCCCTCTCTAACCAAGTTTTAAGGCTGCTGCAGCACTGGTCCAGCTCTTCTGGCTTGTTTTTACAGGGATTCAGGCAGCTGAGGCTCCTGGTGGAGAACCGTGGTCGTGTCAACTATGGCCTGGCACTGAATGACCAGAGGAAAGGTGAGTTAACTTCTGTGTTCTCAAGCTGTCCTAGAGCCTTCTCTGAGTTTAAGCACTGTAGAACTCTCTGTGTGCTGTACCCAGAACCAGACTGAGGATCAGTACAGCTCTCATGGTGCTAGCCAAGGCTACCAGCTGGGAGTTGGTGGGAAATGGTAGGGTGGAAGAAACTTGCTGAAAAAATCATGCCATCACCCCCTGTCTGCAGTGATGGCAAGCAGTGGCTGCTTGATGCCTTGCACTAAGCCTTCTTATTTTATAGGGGTACAGCTAAACCCAAGGCCATCAATGAATCTTACTCTGCTCTAGGTTTCCTAGGTGATCAGGTTCCCTTTTCTCTTTGCTCTGTGAGGATATTACTTCACAGGGAGAGAAGGAAAATACCTTTCTTCATCTGTGTTTTCCCCTGGGTGGGTTGATGCAGGAGGATCACACCATTTAAAAACTCACACAGTGCCAGGAGGAGTGAACTGCATCCCGTGGAGCAGAATTGACTGAAATGCTCAAGCTTAACACACACAGCTGTGGAGGTGGAAGAGGCTGAAACCCCAGGAGTGTATTTTAGTGGGGAGCTACATGCAAAAGCTATGTAAAGTAGCCTAAAGGAGTTAGGCCATGTGACTGTATTGGTTTTATTTAATGCAGAAGAGGTACACAAAGCCTCTGTTGGTGCTCAGGCAACCTCAAGGAGGTTGGATTAGGAGCCAGGCTCTGCCTGCTACAGGGAGAATAACCTTAACAAGGGACTGCTAAAGGTCAAGTAGTCATTAGGGTGCCTTAAGATCCTTGGATGAAAAGCACTGGCTCAACACTGGGCACAAATGCTTGCCCATGTTGTATTTTGTTGAGAAGGAACTGATTTCAGGGCTTTAAAAACATCTCTGTGTGGTCAGCTCACTAAAACCCAACAATAGCAACAACCCCCATCTGCTGTGTGTGCCAGCAGTGTTTTCTGCTTGGAGGGTGTTTAATGGCTTGGTGAGTTCAAGCAAAGGAGAGAATGGAGAGGCCAAAGTATAGTAATGTTCCTCAGTCAATCTGGATGAGCAGTGGGACCATATGGGCTCTAATTCCATTGCAGAACATGGCTGCTTTCCATCTCCTGCTGTTCCTTGCATTCAGATAGGAAAATATCTATCAGCTTTAGCTGTTTTTCAACTCTTCATTACCCCTATTGCTCTTGCAGGCTTAATTGGTGACGTCTTCTTGAATAAAACCCCCTTGAGGAACTTCAAGATTTACAGTTTGGAGATGAAACCTTCCTTCATGAAAAGGTTTGTGGCATTCCAGCATCCTTTTCCTTCCTCATTTGAAACCACCTGTGTTACCAGCAGTGCAAAAAAAACCAAAAAAAAAAATCTAACAGGGAGCAGCTAAATGCATGAAAGGCAACACGAGGTAACAGCAGGTAGGAGGATTTTTGCACTGATGAGTTCCTTGCTGATACCTTTGCCTGAAATAGTGCAGGAAATGGTGGCACTTTAGGAATTCCATTATTTAGGGTGAAATGTATTCCCACTGTGGAGGATTTAAGGAGCTCTTCGGAGCCTGTACAGCAGGGTGAGGTGAGGTAGGTAAAGCCAGAGGGTCCCCACACACCCACGTGCTGGAGAAGTTTGGGTCTTTGTGGAAAACTGGCAACGTGGCTGATATATTTAGTAATTCAGACTCACAAGGGATGGATTAATTCTAGAAAGCTACTAATAGTACATTAACAAGTCCAGATGGCTTCCTCTCTTTTATGTTATTCTGCTTTAATTCAAGCAAGGGAATCTAGCAGGGGGAGGTGGAGGAGCCTCTGGTAGCAGCTACAGAAAATCTCAGCAAACATTTAAGGCAGCAGATGCCCTATGGACTCTGGCCACAATCCAGAGAGGCTGTTTGCAGGGATGTTAATACCACAGAGCAACTTCTGTGCATCCCCCAAAATATCACAGCTCCCCCCTTTTTTTTGTGTGTGTGGGAAGGAGAGAGAGGCAAATGTTGAGCTGAAATGGCTTTGAGAAGGGAAAAAAAAAAATAGTCCCTGTTTGGAAATTCCTAAGGACAATCTCAGCAAGTGTTTTGGGGCTACCTGAAGGATTCTTTATTGATGGGGTAAACCCCAAGCTTTGACTGCAGGGTGCTGGAGGAATATTTCCAGGGAGGAACACTGAACCAAGGGAGCTGCCATGCCCCAACAAAAGCAGCATTAGTCACCACTAGCCTCAGTTCTTGGCTGGTGACCAGCAGCAGTGAAACACAATCAGCTTACAGTCCCTGTGGGGGAGGAGGGAGTGGGGTGTTGTGAAAGGAACTGTCACAGGCTTTTAGTTGAATAATTCAGGAGTTGAAGAAGTCAGGCTGCTCTGGATCAATAACTTCCCTGAGTCCAAGAGATGCAGTTCATAAGGGTCGGAGGGAACATGTTCTGACAGAAGCTCAAGCCTTCTGTGGGATCCTACACTCCTCATTTCCTCTTCTCTTTGTCCCCTGCACCCAAATTGTTGCCACAGGTAAGAAATAATGGTAGGTTGCCCCTAATTACTGCAAACCTGCAAGGATGTGTTGGTGTCAGGAACAGGGCAGGAAGGTCTGGGTTGAATCCCGTTGGTTCTGCAGATTTTTCTTTAGCAAGCCCCAAGCATTTAGAGCTTGTACCAGATCTGAAGGAGGATGAGCACTTCAGCCAACAAAACCCAGAGCTTTCTGTGTTGCTGTGAAGTACCAGAGATGGTGACAGCCCCCCCAGGTATCCTCTTCTTGTGGTACTGGTTGGCCTAGCAGGGAGGTGAAAAACACAGGACCATGCAGCACCACAAAAACTGTCTGAATTGGGTCACTCTCTTGCAGCTTGCAGCACACTGCTGGCTGGAGTGGAGTCCCAGATTACTTTGTTGGTCCAGCTTTTTTCCGTGGGAGGCTGTGGATAGAGCACCAGCCACAGGACACTTTCCTGAAGCTACAGGCAAGTCCTGGTTTTCTTTCCCCACCCTATTTTTCCTTTATCAAGCTGCTTAGGGAACTTGTGCATTACCTCTGTCTGTAGTTCTGTAGTCTTCTTCTTATCTTGGAGAATATTTGGAGGGTGTAGAATTTTTCTCCAGCTGGGAGGTAATTCTGTTCAGTCTTTAGTGGCTCTGATGAGCAAACATGTGCAGTGCTGACCCTGCAGAGCTGCTAATGATCACTTAGTCTTTTATATTGACATACAAATGCTATTTTCTAGTTGCAGAGGAGCAATAGGCACAAAAAAATGAAGGAAGCACTAGTTTTATCCCTGTCTCCTCAATGTGGCATGGAAGGAGTCATTTCTTTGTATGGCATGGGAGTTAACATTCCTGGCATCCTTCTGTGGCAGATTGTGATCTTGCTTAGAACTTCAGATGAGATTCTAAGTATTATTAAACTTCCTGCTCTGATTTCCCTCCCTTCAAGCCAAAGTTCACAGCCATCATTACTCAGTAATGTAACTCACTTCCCAATTAATCCTTTGTTGTAAATTAGGCCAGTCAGCAGCAATACACTGTTTCAGTCACTTGGGAAAGAGGTGAGGAGAAATACTCCATGCTTGGGAAGGAATAAAGGTCAGTGTGCTCAGAAGGATGAAGTTCCCTGTACAAGCCCAAATCATGAATTGCACATTTTTTGAGAGCTTTATCCTCTTAATTAGTACATTAAGGATAACTCCTGTTCAACAGGGCTTACTTAAATGTTCCTGGCTCCAGGGATTTGGGCAGGGAAAGCAAGCAGAAAACCTGCAGAAAGTGGCTGGAAAGAATGCAAGTGTGAAAGCAGATTTGGTTTCCTGGGGGGATGCTAACGAGGCAGCACAGCTGCAGCAGTAATTCCATGCTCTGCCTTCATTCCAGGGCTGGGAAAAGGGAGTGGTGTTTGTCAATGGGCAGAACCTGGGCCGTTACTGGAAGATTGGACCTCAGGAAACACTCTACCTGCCTGGGCCCTGGCTAAGGAAAGGGGGCAACGAGGTGAGAGGCTCTTTTGCCTGTTTGTATTGTCCAAGATCCTGCTCTGAGCCATGTCCCAAAGAGCCTGACATGTGCATGGTCTTAATTATTCCCCATCTCGAGCTGAAAGCTAGCACAGGAGAGGGGAAGGAGAGTGGTACCTTCTAAAATCATAGAATCATAGAATCAACCTGGTTGGAAGAGACCTCAAAGATCATCAAGTCCAACCCTACCGTGGTTACTAGACCATGGCACTAAGTGCCACATCCAGTTTCAGCTTGAAAACCTCCAGGGATGGTGAATCCACCACCTCCCTGGGCAGCACATTGCAAAAGATCTGTGAGTAGTAGGGAAGGTGCTGCTCTAAAGCTGACTCTGCCCCTGATAACCATTAAGATGTGATGAGCACAGCACTTCAACTTCAAAGCACTGCACCAGGTTCAAAAAATCAAGCCAAACCTGATGTGATGCTGCTTCATCACCTGGTGCTGAAGGAGAACCACAGTTACTGCTCAGTCTCCTGCTGATTGATCCCTTTAAGTGATGCTTCCTTCCCCTGCTGTGAGCGTGTGCCTATTCCTCCTGTGCCTTTTTTTTCCTCCTGAAAACATTCAAAGCAACTCAGCCTTGGTATGAAGGAGCTTTGTGTCCCTGTCCCCTGCAGATTGTCATCTTCGAGGAGCGCAGCGCGGGGCGGATAATCCAGTCTGTGGACATACCTTACTTAGGAAGGACCCAGTACGTGGACTGATGAGAGCTCCTCTCCCATGTTTGGTTCATCTCCTGGTTGCATGTCTGGGGACATGATGGCTCAGCACTTGGGCATGCTAATCTCCACTAGACCCAGGTAAAGGATTTGCCCTTTGGCAGTAAGTTCAGAGGAGAGAATGGGCCCCAAAGGAACAGGGTCCGTTGTTTCATGGATGGATGCAGCAGCTCATCTCCCTGGACTTCTGAGGACCCACAGCCTGGATGGCTGAGCATGTTATGGACCATCTGGTGGATGTGGGGGAGTAAAAAGGTGCTGGAGGCAACAGAGAGAAAGAGAGAGAGAGAGAGAGAGAGAAAGAACCAAAGCCATCGGAACTGAAAGCTGAGCTCAGCTTTCCAGTGACTTTCAAGACATGTTCTCACTGGCCTCCTCGTTTTTATAATTAGGTAGGGAGAAAACAGTTGAACAACATGAGTAATCAGGTGTGGAAAACCATTTTGGTGTGCTTCCAGGCAGAATTTAGCAGCTCTCTCTGCAAAGAGGCCATTCTGTGTTCACTTGGGAAGCCAAGATTGTTAAATGACTTTTAACTCAAACTCTTTTTTTTTTGGAGGTTGGTCTCTCTCTCTCAAAAAGGAAAAAAAAAGTTTTAAAAATTGAAATGTGTTTTGTCCTCTCTCAGATTTATCATTATATTTCAGGCCAGGCAGGAAGGAGAAGTTCCAAGGAGGAGAAAAGGCCAAGTGAGTCTTCTAGTCCTCCCTCCACCTGTGCTCACACTGTGAAGCACCTAAGGATGAAATTACCCCTTGTAAAATGAACAGGGATCAGGTTTTGGTTGGGATAGGAGCAAAGGGGTTGCATCCATAGCTGCAAATGGGAAAACACATCTATACCTGCTGTGGGATTTTGGGATGTGGTTGCTTTTTTTCTGTCCCTTAAAGCAGAAACTCAGAATTTAGGTAAACATGACATTCTTTGAACTCACCAGCTCTGCAGCCACAGAGGAACTGTGACTTGAAGGAGAGGAAGAGCTCAAACTCAAGCTGTGAAGCTGTTCAGAACCTCTGAGGAGTCACTCAGCCCCTGCTCTCTGTGCCAGGACCAGGATCCAACCTCTGAGACAAACACCAAACAGGCACTGCCTCTGTAAGGGAGTTGCAGGGTATTCTGGCTCTTAGAAACCATCATTTTATTTAACAAATTTAAATACAGTTTGTTTAAAACTGAGAACAGACAGTGCAGCTGAAAACACTCCATCCTGGCCAGAGCTGGTCCTGCTGGACATTACCTATCTCTGCTTCTTCCAAGGGCCACAGCAGCCTCTGGGCAAACTGGAAGGGCCCAGACTTGTGTGACCAGAGCATATGTGCAGGGCTGTGATCAGCACTCCATCCTTTGCATCTTTCTGGGAGTTATTTCCTTCCAAGGAGGGAAGGTTGTCACCCAGCAGGGACTGGAATTAAGATTAGTGAACCAAAACATGCAGCTAGGAGAGGACATCAGTTGGAAACTAGTTAAATGGCATGAAAACTTGGTAGTCCTTGAAAAATGTCTCTTTCCACTGTAGGGTTTGCAGGCTGAAGTGGTCTTGGAAGGCCAGTACAACAACAGAATAAATCTGCTTGGGTGCAGAGAGCTACTGTTTTAATCCAAGGTAACAACTCCCATTCCCATGGAGCAGCATCCAATACTTTCTATCCAAGTAGCTTCAGCCAATACATCTAAAGGAACATTTTTGCAAAGGCTTCTGTGGCTGGGAACTAAAGAATGCAACTTTTTCCCCAATGGTTCTGATATACAGTGGGAGAAAATAACTTACCAAAAAAAAAAAAAAACTTTCCTTTGAAATATCAGGAAATACACAATGTCATTAGTCCGAGGGGAGAATTCTGCACCGTCAAGCTAACGATCAAACCCAGAGCATTGGAATAGTTCAGTGTCTTAGGGCTAAAAATAACCAAGTCTATTGCCAGGATTGCATTTTCCCTCAGTTCAAAGGTAAAATTGTGCTTCAAACCTTTTTTTTTTTTT